TGATAATATATTATCTATTTGAGCAAGAAATAGTGTTAAGAGTTCAAGAATTTAAAGATAACACTTTGAGCAACTTACTTGAAATATGTATTATGTAAGCCGTAAGAATTTATGATATAAAGATTAATATAATTGGGCTAAAGGAACAAGTAAGAGTTTTATATAAGAATAATTTATTTATTTATTTTTTTTTTTTTTTTTTGGTAAGTAAGCAAATATATTACCAAAGAAACAACTTACAAGGAGTTGTACAATACACCCAAACTACACAAGCCAAAAAGGCACACAACCACCACCAACCAGAGGGCAAGCCCTCTCACCACCAACCACAACCCATTAAGGCACACTAGCTCTAAGGCTAAAAAGCCATTTACAATGATTCCTATCCCATTTACAATTAACAAGCTGCCTACACCTATCTACTGTTTCTATACAGATCACTTTACACAAAATTTTAGGAAGAAACACAGCTTTCTGCTAAAGGACATGGTTCCTGGCAAACCAGATATGATACACAATAGCTGATAAAGCAGCCATTCCAACTTTCCTGTAAATAGGTTCTTTGAGCTGCCTGCACCACTGCTTCCAAATTTCCTCAATGCTGTAAGAAGTGTCTCTGATCTTTAACCAATCAGCAATCAAGGCAACACACCTCTTGCTATAATTGCACTCAAAGAACAGGTGATTCCTGTTCTCAATAGCATCACCACACAGCAGACACCTGTTGTCATTACAGATGCCAAATCTTTCCAATCTGTCCCTTGTTTTGAGCTTATTGTGAATTGATAAGAATAATTTTACTTTGCTTAATACATGTTATTGCCAAAATAATTTATGACTTAAAGATGCAAGGGATTTTAAAGGTTATTGGATTAATTATCTCATACCCCATATGCAAGGATTAGGGGGAGATAGTAATTATTTCATTATTTTATGTAATCCTTGCACATGAATAATAATATATATGAAGAATAAGATACATTAATGGTCAGTTTAGTACATATATTAGCTTTAGTATCAATGATTTATTTAATAAGGGTGACCACAAAATTATTTAAGATTCAAATCAAAGATGGATACGAATAGATTTCATTAGCTATATGCCTATATACTAACTGTAAATGCTCCAATTAAAATTAATGTTCCAAAAGGACAACATTAGTTATTGATGAACCTAAAGCACGCCTAAAGCGTGGTAGTCAAACCCAATAGGTTCCAAAAACATGAATCTTCAAACAACAAATGGGCAATTATTTACAATAGCAAATTTAAGGAAGTGATACATTCTCATAGGTCTCTATAAGAGATTATCTTTAGTAAAATGAATATTTACCATGATTATATATATAGAATACTCCATGAGAGTATAGAATGTTCAACAACCTTAAGCATGTATCAAGATTATAATCAAAAGCACTCCAGCAGAGTATGAGTTAATATTAGATCAAATATTAGTCGATTGTCTTGCCAATTGTATAAAGAAACACATGTTGGTGTTCTAATATCACATCATACTCATGGCCATGCATAAAGTAAGTTTAATAAAGTGATCACTAGTGTTGGAAAACTGACTAGAGTTCAATTGCAGAGATGTGATTGGATGTGATAATTAAATTAGGCCATCCGGGTTCAATAAATACCCGTTATGGAAACCTGAAGTTTCATTTGATAATGTGCTGACACTATCTCAATGTTAGATATATGAAAGGAATTGAATGACAAGACATGACATTGAGATTGAGCTATAATAATTTGTGTTGATGAAAATTTCAAGAGTTAATAGGTTTTGATTTTCATATATACGAAAGAGCAATAGGTGACCAGAAGTTCACCAGAATAACTTATATATTATTGTCAAGTATTAGGTGACCAAAATCTCACCAAATACACTATTTAAGTCTTCAAAGATCTAGAAGATCACCACCTAGTAGAATTACAAGCAAGTGATTTACGGCTGTATACCAATTCTTTTGATTGGGGCTATTATATGTCAGCATATAAGAAATAGGAAAGAAAAACGTACAAATGTCAGCATATAAGAAATAGGAAAAGAAAGAAAAACGTACAACTGCACAACACATGTCTCCCCATTGACATTGATCTCCAGAAGTGAAAATATTATGGAAAATGTATAATAAATAGACATGATATGTAAAGTTAATGAATAAATTATTCTTCATTGAAATAGTTCTCCAGAAGAGATAAATCTTGTTTAATACAAATCTTTTGAGAGATAAATTTTGATTGTGATCCACCTAATGAAATGAATTTTAATGCAAATTTATATACTAAGTTGGTATAGAATTAGACGCCCCTATAAAAGAGATATTTTACCAACTTAGGGGGAGAAGAAACAACAAAAGTTGGAAAAATCGAAAAAAAATAAAAAAATTTGATGATCCCTATAATGGTAGTTTAAAATATTATATGCCAACTTTTGTCTATATACTATCAAGATATGTCGCACATTTATGATTTGATTTGTATTCAGTTATGACTCATGTTGCATAGCATTGAAGACACATTTTGGTCATATTAAATTATGTGTATATTAAGATAAAATCTTGCCAATTATACATGAATCACTACACCTGAAGTGTGGGTTGTATGATCGGTTCCAAAATATAGATATGATATGTGGCAAGATAGTGCAGTTAACACTTTTAATAGTGTAATAGTATATAAATACCATAGTGTATAAATACCCCAAAAGTGGTATAGATATCTGAATTATTACAATAGATGGCCTATGATGTAAGAAAAATTATGATGGTACCAATGAAAAATATATTCAGATATCATTGTCAAATAGCATGCAAATTAAAATTGTACCCTGAGGAATTATATGATGATACCGGTATATGATGGAACCGACAAATAATGCATATGCATGATATAATGGACTTGAGAATAAGAGATCTGGAATACATGTCCATTTTGATGTCGACATAATGATAATCATCATAAGTTTATCACGGACCAGAAATCCAATGAAATATGGATTTTTAAATCCACACTGTACAGTGTCTTGCATTATTTTGAGTCCTATGTATGTTCATATGCATGTGTGAGTCTAGGTTAATGTATTATTCATAGCATATATCGGAAGTTGTTAGATGCATTACGCATTGTATATTTTGTTTTCTATATCTCATATTGCTGCATTTGTTTTTATACAATAATTGTGGTATATGTGAATATTTGTTCAAAAATATAGTAAGACGTATTTGTAACTTTGATGGAAAATTAGAGAAATATATATATTCCAATGGGCTTATAGTTGTGATAAAATTATTGATGACGTCGAGTTTATAGCATGTCATGAATCATGTAAGAATAGTTCCTTAAGAACTTATGTACGACATATTTATATATCCAGCCCTACAAATTTTACATTTTGAATATTGTAATTATATCAAACTTTTGGTCTATGTGACTATACTATTGACATCTCAACCTGAAGTTTGAGCATATGAGAATTAGTAAGATCGAGAATTACTATTTGTATTTGCATGAAAATTATCGTGTCATTTATGAAACTTCTAATATAAAGAATATCAACGGGATACTTATGCGTGAGACTGTTTTCTTATGATCCAGAAGAACCATGATCAATGTATATAATTACATGTGTTATATTATTATTTCATACAAAATTGAAAAACAACATTAATATATCATATATTGCCATATAATTTTTAAAGAATGTTTGGTCAAATAATGATCATCAATTTCTATTATTCACGGCCTTCAGAAGAAGGTATAAGTTTAATGGTTAAGGCAACTTTAAACAGAGATTTCGAATGAAATGTGGACAAACACATGTATTATTGTTATAGGTATGGTGATATGAAGACTTGCTTGTTTGCATAAAGATTTGAAGATTTGGGAGGATCAAAAATCAAGGAATGATATTGTTCTGCATCAAGTGAGAAGACACTTAACTATATTGGATTCATTGCATTAGAAGGCCTCAAGTTATGTATTCATCAGGGGGGGAGAAATTACGCGCTGCACTCTTTTTCCCTTAATCATGGTTTTGTCCCACATTGGGTTTTCCTGGTAAGGTTTTTAACGAGGCAACATTTCGAGCATATTACGAAGAATGTTGTACTCTTTTTCCTTCATTAGGTTTTTATCTCACAGGGTTTTTCCTAATAAGGTTTTAACGAGGCACAATATTCGATAATGGACATCCAAGGAGGAGTGTTATGAAATATTTGTGGATATCCATTATCCTAGTATCATTCCGGAATATTCTAGATCTAGGGTTTATATTCTTATCCAACCAAACCCTAATTATATATATATATATACCCCATCCTATGGAATAAAGATATACAGATTAGTTCTCTTTCCATCTCTCATATTTTCTCCTTATTTCACAACAAAAATAGATATTTAGTAAAAATAAGTTTTTATCCGTAGTAGTAGGCTAGTAGCAGTAGCGATAACAGTAGTAGTAACAGTAGCATCAATAGCAACATTGTAACAATAGCAGTAGCAGGCTAGCAGCAATAATAGAAGTAGTTGCAGTAAGAATAGCAACAACAGTAGCATAGTAGCAATACCGTACCACTGGTAGTAGGAGTAGGAGTAGCGATAGCAGCAGTAGTAGTTAGTAGTTTAGTACTCGTAGTTAGTAGTGACATCCGGTAGTAGTTGGTACTTAGTGTTTAATAGTAAGTTATTACGGACTACTCGTAGTTAGTAACTACCTTATCAACACAAAATAAAAAAAATAAAAAAAAAAAAAAAACCAAAGCCTATTAACAAATGGATCTATATCTTGATGGGTTTGACAAAGATTACATTTCTTCTTCAGGATAGTACGGAGTACCGAGTACGGACAACAGAGTACATACGAAGAATTGGTTGGCAGATAGATGCCTTGTCAAGGGACAAACTACCAAATCTAGTGACTATAATTCATTAACCATACAAGACATATGATTGATAGCAACAGAACCAAATGCACTAACTTATCTTACAAAATGAGATAAACAATATAAAAGGCTACTAAACTAATTAACCCCAATAGGGGGGACGAAATTATATATTAGTACAGTCATGAGTAAATACATTTCTAATCGAAAGAGATAGAGCGGCCTAGGATATGGACACACATTGTTAACCAGACGCCAATCTTGGACAGTATTTTGAGCTACATTTTAATTTACTTACAAAAACCTATCCTGAACAATTTTGTTTAGTTCTTCCAACTTCTGGATAATTTTTGGATTCATCAAATCCCTTGCCTCCCTAATCAGTGTTCCTTCTTGGCTGAGATGATATGCATCCACCACAGCTTTTATCCAAGTATGTAGTTTCTCTGGTGTCCTGTACATTTCACACATAAAGTGAGGAAGGTAACTATCCGAAAGCAACCCTAACATAACGTTTAAGAAAAGGGAAAGGAATTTTTAATGAGATAGGTCACAGATATACATACGTGTACAAATTATCAACGTCTGTCCCTTCAAGCTCTTCTCCAGGAGTAAATGCATCTTGCAGAGAAGATAGTTTCTCCTCAGGATCCTCAATTGTCAGAAGATATTTCACAATCCTGATCTCCTTTGGCATTAGCCTCTGAAGATTACCTCTTGCAGTCTTGTACAAATGATATAACACATCCTTCACCTAGAGAAGGAAAACAGAAAAAAATTATCGAGTGCATGAAGGAATACATCCTGTGGAAAGAAAGATTTATATTCATTTTTTAGCAAATAGTATGGTTTTCATCTACCAAACAATATCATACGCATAATCAATCCATAACAAAAGAAGCAGTGCCAACACACTGACTTAAAAATGTCAACTAGTGTGATCAGCATGTGCTATGGTCTATTTCTCTAAACCTGGAACTTTCAACTCTGATTTAATTCAGTAATAAGACAAGCATAAACTCTTCAGACATAGCTTATATTGTTAGCTTCCATGAAGTACATTTATATCAAAGTTGGAGACAAGGCCACAAGGGTACTATATGCGTCTTCAGCTCCCTTCCCCAAGTGGTTTAGACTAAGGTCTTCTCCCTGCCCCAGTGAAAGGGTGTGTCCTTAATGCATTGACCATTGCACATCGTAAAACAAAAGCAAACAGCATTGAGAATTTTATAAAACCATCCTTTTTTCAAGGGCACCACTTCCAAATTTGTATCAAGTGTGCCACTTCTATCAATGGAAATCTTCTATATTTTTTTTACTAGATATATCTCTCGTCTCATGGTCCCCACTCCTACCTTTTTATTACTTCTCTCCTCTCACATCCCTTACTCTTGAATAAACTATAAAAGAAAACGGAGTATCAGACAAGGCCACAAGGGCTTCCACAACCTTGTAGCATTGACAAAAACACTTCACTTACAAATGGGTATCTATGTACTGGCGCACTTTTTGACATTCTAGCATTAGAAATTAGACAATTCATCATGCGCATTGAGTAAAAAACTGATGGAGCTCCAAGCCTTGTTATAGCAGAGAAATTATAAACATCATAACATAGTGATTCTCAATTGTAGATTAATTTAAGCTCTGAGCTCAGAAAAAAGAAAAGGCCATTTTCAGATTGAACGACTCTCCAAACCAAATTCTAAGCTTCCTCTAAAACTAGTAATACCTTACCTCATCTTTCATCATGTTTGATTCTTTGGCACTAGACCAAGCTTTTGTTATCATCAAAACCAGGGCAGAATCAAGTTCATTCTTCGCAGCCAAGGTGTCTATTTTTCTGCAAGCAGCATCTAAAGTGGGAGAGTTGATAATGTCCTGGAACTTCACTTCAGCAGAATTGATAGCCTCTAAGCTTTCAGAAGCTGTATCATAAGCTTGTACCGCAGATAGGCACCTATTCCCAAGCTCCACCACAGCTATTTTTGCAAAGAAGTATCATTACTAATGGAACAAGATGGCAGGTGAAAGTGTGATACAGAGAAAAGGAGATGAGGAAAAATCTTCATGGGGGCAAGAGGCTTAAATGCATATGAGTGAATCTTACATGCAACAATGACAGCGTGGGCAAGATTGTACAATGTACATACAACGCTAACCAATTTGAAATCCAAGGCTTGTAAGAACATTGATATGGTTGCAAATCGGTGCAAGAAAAATCCTAGTGAAGTTCAAAGATCAGACAGGAGTTTCATGGAGATCTAAGACCTTGTGATTGATGGAAAGACAGGTCACTAATAAACCAGCCAAGGCTACTTCATGGATGCTATAAATAAACTGTGGTACCTTCTTATTGTTGTGTTGTCTACTTGCCTTAGTTTTAATGTCTAAACATTCTCTTCCTTGTCACTTCTACAATCAACAAATCTAGTTACCAGTAATTTTTCAATTTTCCCACACCCAGCTTTCAAATTTTAATAATGTCATGGTAAGGAGAAAGTAATGTTTTGATGACAAAGAACGGGAAGGAAGAGAGCAGCAAAGGCACTAATGCACCATGGCAGTCATCCACTACTACACTCCCACCCCCCAAGGCAGATGACAGAGTGAAATTACCCTTGTGTAGATTAATGGCTCATGATGTTAAACTTTGGACATAAAATCTAAAAATTAACCACAAAAGTCTATGTTTATTGCTTTTGATTTTAAGGTTTGTGTCATTATGCCACCACCATCACGTCTTCTTCACCAATTACAGGGCCACTAATCTTTCCATGTCTGATATGTCTTGACTCTTGAGCTCAGTGAGGTCCTAGTACCCAAATTTGGAATAAAAGTTTGGTGGGAGTCAATAATTTTTTTGTCTTTAACTGGAGCTCCATTGACATAATTATCACACACAATTTTCAGTGGTTATGGTAGAAAAGTGTGGGGATTATGCCATGGGCTGGTGGTAAATGCAGCTGTGCCGGAGTGAGGAGAAAGGGACAGGGACTAGAAAGTGTTTAAGGAGTGGGTCATGTGATGGCGCCTGGCGATGATGATTGTGGTTGTGGTACTTGTGGCGGGGGGGGGGGGGGGGGTTGGAAGAAAGAGATGCATTTTAATAATATAAATTAAAAAAAAAAAAAAAAGAAAAAAGAAATAGACCAGTTTTAAAGGTTACAATAGGGGGATTAATTTGGGAAAGGTAGATTATCAGTTGAAATTATTATTAGTAAAACAATAATTAGGATTATTCTGAAAAAGCCAATAGTAATTCGGATCAATATCGTTGATTTTCCCATACATTATAGCACTAAAGCTTGTACTTTCAAACAAGATATCACTTTTGTTTTTATTTTTGAAAAAAAATATAAGACATCACTTAATCAAATGGTGTAGCAGAAAACGAACTGTGATTAGGAAGGTGATGATTATTTATATGGAACATAAAATTAGTGGCTAACCATTTTGCTCCTCAGGATTGTCATAATAAGATTCAGCAACAGTGTGAAGATGCTCAAAAAACTCCTTAGTGAAGTCTTTACGACGCCTTGCAACTACTTCACTAATATTTTCTGAGGATCCTCTCACTACCTCAAGAAGTTCATTAGCTCTCTGGACATCTTCATCAATCTGCACACAAAGTTTCAGAGCATTTTACAGTATAATCAAGAAAAAAAAAAAAAAAAAAAAAGAGAGAAAAAAAGAAAAGAAAAGAAAAAAGAACAAAGCACGTTTGCACTGTTAACAAAACTTATGCAAGATTGATACATAGCCACATGAAGTATGTTGCTTTACATGAATGATCAAAAAGACAAGAGAAAGCACCAGAAAAGAATCTTTTAAAGAAAACAGGAGATACAAGCCAATAACTGAAAACTAAAAAGTAGCATATTTAGGCATTTAACCGTAATTGATGACAATTTACACGTCAATTTTTATTAGGAGCCACCCACTCAAGAAATTTACTTATTGTACTAAATTGTCGTTACATGTTTTTACCTACCTCTCTCAGCTTCCTTCCAAGCCGAAGTAGCTTGTGTTTCATTTCAGGGTTGTCTTCACTCTCTGCCCTTTCCTCACAACGCATAAAAAAGTGGGGTCGGATAGAACTCCATTCTTTGCTAAAAATTAACAACCTTCTCCAATCAGTTGGAGATGGTTTATCCAACAAAAAAACTTCAATCAACTTGTCACAAACACGGATCATTTTAAGATTATCCATGTTGTCAAGGTCACCTTCCTCTTTTGTATTTCCACCGTCTTCTGTTGCCTCTTCTTGAAAAGCTTTACTATCAGGGAATGAAACTATAGCTTGCTCTTCTTTCCAATTATTGGCCGTCAGAGATGCATTTTTAACCCTTGCCAAGATTGAGGGATACTGAACTATATTAACCTTTGCCAAGAAAGAGGGATACTGCAACCTATTCAGGTTACGGATGTAATAGCCTGGAATATTATAATGCATAAAGGTTTATTATTTGATTCATATGGGAGAAGTAAATATTTAAACTAGCAAGTTCACTGCACCAAAACCAGAAGCCAAACACATTAAACTACAGAAATTGTTGTAGAAACCTATTCTTGGCACTTTGTCCCAATCAGGATGGCTTAATGATAAAACTTAACACCACTTTTCCGATGACGAAATATTTGCATGTTACATGAACAATCGCTCAAACACAGTGCAGCTAGGAAAAGTGACACTACTACTCAACTTAAAATCTAGTTTAACTGCGATAATATCAACTTAAATCAAGCTTATTCCAGGAGAACTTCATGGGCCAGTCACTGCCGGAGTAATAAATGATAGTTTTTGAGATTAAATAAAGCCTGGGAGAAGTCCTAACAATAGACAGAAGTGCAACCAGAATAATAGTACAGTACCGGTAATGAAAGCTCGAAATCAAGTTCAACTCAGTCATCAGACAACAAAATCAATTCAGTTCTGAATTTAAAGATATTTTTACACACTAAGTTTCTGTCACCTAAATTTAAAGGAAAAATGGAAATAAATAATCCCACTTTTGCTCGGTCTTTCGAAAACAATCCCACCTTTAATTTATTCCAAAATAATCCCACCTTTAACCCCCATCTTTTTTTAACAATCTCTGACCGGTTTAGTTAAGTTGGTAACCTGTTGTAGAGGGTGACTTGCCACGTGTTGATTGTTTATTGGTCAACTTAATAAATAAATAAAAAAAAAACTAATCTGCCTCCCATCCTTGATTCCCTTTCCCCACCTCCTTCCATGGCCTCCCAGCCACCAACGGATAACCCCACATCCCCTCCTCATCAGCCACCATTCTTGACCACCCATAGCATTGCCAACCAAATTCCCATCAGTCACCCAACATCACCCCACCGGATTGCCCGACCACGACAACAAGCAGCAGCATCACCGCCGTACGGCCCGTACCACCGTCCCTAACCACCCGAAAGCCCAGCTCATCCATCAGAAACCGCCCCTCACCCACCCATAAACAATCCTACACAGCCCAAAAATCAGCCCCCCACCCTAATCCTAATATCAGCCTAGTCAAGTACCCACCTTCCCACACCGAAATCATATAACTCACCCAGATTAAATGCATAAATAAGCAACCAAGGCACTAATTAGCCAAACAATAATGTTTAGAGATTGACTCAAATGTCAAATGTGGGTGAGAATTTATCACGTTTTAACCCAGAAAGGCTGCAATTATACTTGTGTAAATGAAGATTTCATTAAAAAAAAAAAACTTACCAATGATTATCTTTGGGTGAGGGGACAGTTTCAATTGGTGGGATGGGTGGTTGGTGACTTGTTGGAGGCTTGGAGCTGCCATTGATATGGAGAGGATGAGGGACAAGAGAGGAGATGTAGTTTTGGAGGTGGAGTGGTGGGCGGTGGTAGGAAAAAGGGGGTCGGGAGGTGTTTTCGAGTGGGTGGTGGTGAGGTGGTGTTTGAGGAGAGGAGAAAGATTTAAGAAAAAAGCAAAAAAAAAAAAAAAGGTTTACCTATAAAACAGGTTGTAGGTCATAGGGATTGTTAAAAGAAGATGGAGGTTAAAGGTGGGATTGTTTTGGAATAAATTGAAGGTGGGATGATTTTTAGAAGACCGGACAAAGGTGGGATTATTTGTTTCCATTTTTCCAAATTTAAAAAAAAAAAATTAGAAAGGAGAATTCCAGGATTTTGTTAAAATATACTTCCTCAGTTGCAACAATTGAACTTTTGCAGTAGTCATCACTCTTGTTTGACCATATAATATGAATCATATGTTAAGCAAAATATCTTGTTTGATTTGTCTCATATAATTCATAATATCAACTTTTTGTAATTTTTACACTTATACAATTATAGATATTCAACATATAAAATGTGCTATGGAATGCGTAATTTCATCCTTGTTGCAATATTGTTGGAACGGAGAAAGTAGCAACTAAGTTCTCTTGTGAGTTGCATAACACGCATAACATTGTCATATATCTGATTCTACCATATCCGGAAAAAATAGCAGTATCCAGAAGGCGGTACACTCGTATTTACAGAGCCATATAACATCATAATGAACACTGATTCAAGTTTGGTATATACAATTTCTAATTTCATTTCAAATCCTAATTGGTAATCCGAAGTGCAATTTAAGCTACAAACTACCAGTAGTTTTGATTTTTATATCATCAAGAACTAAAACAGTACATAGCTAGATTAAACAACTAACCAGGTCCGTCTTTGAGCCAGGGCAACAGGGGCGGCCGCTCTCCACCAACGGAAATAAATCCCATTTTTATAATCCCGCGTACCTGTAACACATTAGCATTTAGCACCCAAATATTACATAATTACCGAGTATATATAATCCAGAAAAACCCTTAATTCACTGACTATACTAACCATTTAATTTATAAAACCCTTGATTTTGAAATTGATATTTTTTATTAAAACAAAAACTATGTTACCTTAGAAGCTGCTTCAATGGAGAGAGGATAGCAGGCGAGAAATAGAGAATGAGGGGGGTGCGTGGGTAGTTAGCCCAGCATGTGCTGTGGCTACTAATCCGTACACAAGACCAAAAAAAATAAAGGGTAATTATCACTGGTACACTCAAGGTTTCACACAGTTATCAGCGGTACACCTATTGTACCCTTTCCGTTAAAAAAAACGTTAGTTTTGGCTTTTTTTTTCGATTTTTTAATCAGTGGTACACCCAAGGTTTCACACAGTTATCAGCGGTACACCTACCTTACCCTTTCCGTTTTAGTTTTGGCTTTTTTTCAATTTTTTAACTTAAAAAAATTTAATTAAAAAAAAAAAAAACCTTCTTTCTCCCTCATCTCCCTTCCATGGCCTTCCACCACCTAGGCCAACAACACTGTGGCGCCACCCCCACCACCACCACAAACCTCAAAAACCCCACAACTTGACAACCAACATATAACTCGACCCCCCAACCACGACCCTACAATCAGACCCCAAAACAATCAGATTCCCCTCCCCATTTTCACCTCCCATTTCCTTTCGTTGTGGTGCTTTAAATTGGTGGTCCGTAGGTGGGTTGTGCGTAGGGTAGAGGAGGTTGTGCCAGAAAAGGGATGGGGAAAGGGGTTGCAAAAGGGATCACTGGCGGGAGGGGTGCCGGCGGGGTGATTAAGGGAGGGTGTTGCCAGCGGGATGGGGGTCGGGCACCGAGAAAGAGAAGGGATGCGGGCAGGGAGGGAAGAGGGTGGCTGAAGGTCGTGAAGGGGGAGGGCTTGTTTTTTTTCTTTTTTAATAATAATAATAATAAATAGGAAAAATTAATCTAACTTTTTTTAAATTTATTTTTTTTTTGAACCAATCACAGGCCGTCACGTGTCAGTTTTTTAAGTTAAAAAATAAAAAAAATTAGGAAAAATTCCTGGCAATAATCCGACTTTTAGCCCATTCTTTTTTAATAATCCGACCTTTCGATTATTATTTAATAATCCGACCTTTGGGGGTCTTTAATTTTTATTGGTCCCATTTGACCAGAAACCGGTTGAAGAGGTATTTTTTTTTTGTTTAAAATACACGTGTCATTACGTAATTGGTAAAAAAAAAACAAAAAAAAAATTAAAAAACCCAAATCCATTTCAGCCACCAGCCTACCACCATCCCCACCACCACCCAAACCCAAACCCTAGAACCACCATCCCACCAAACCCGAACCCCAAAACCACCCCACCAGCCTCCCTCCCTTCCCCCGCCCCAATTCCGACCACCACCGAAGAGAAGGTCGTCGCCTCGTTGTGCATTCTCTCACTCTGTCCTCCATTGAAGCAGGTTCTGAGCTTTCTCTCTCCTCCATTAAAGAAATTTCTGAGCTTTCTCTCTCCTCCATTAAAGAAATTTCCGAGCTTTCTCTCCCCTCCATTAAAGCATCATCTAAGGTAAGAAGGGGGAGGGAGGTCGCGATTGGGACAGAGAATGGTTTCGAAGGTGTTTGGTGGTTCATGGGGAGGGATACGGTGGTCGGCGCGTTCAGGGGAGGGGTACGACGGTCGGAGCCTGGGTTTTCGAGGTGACGTTGCCTGGTTTCGTGAGGGCAGGAGGCGGGTTGGTGCTTCAGGCGAGGGGGTTCAGGTTAAAGCCGGCGCCGGCGTTATCGTTGAGGTCCTGGTGACCAGAGCCACGGGGCGGGGGTGTCAGGGGCAGCGGAGAAGGCTTGGGTGGTGGTGGTTTTGTAAATAATTATTAATTTTATTTATTTTTTCTTTAAAAATTTTCTAAATATTATAAATTTTTTGAATTTTTTTACCAATCACAGGCCGCCACGTGTCATGTAACCTGTTATCCCGGTTGGGACCAATAAAAATTAAAGACCCCCAAAGGTCGGATTATTAAATAATAATCGAAAGGTCGGATTATTAAAAAAGAATGGGCTAAAGGTCGGATTATTGCCATAAATTTTTCCTAAAAATAATTGTCATTTTGAAAGTTTTATTGTCATTACATCTATTGTCTATTTTGGTTAGATAGCCAGCTTGATTTATGTCATTAGTCATATTTATATTGTCATTAAGTAGTATCAAAATACCCTCTTTTCACGTCAAGTTATTGTCAGTAATAGCCAGAATATTTATAGTGCCATAAAACTTAGGATCGTTGATTTGGTATCAGAGCCATACATTTAAGTTTAAGCTAAATTGTTAATTAAAATTAATAAATAAGTAAAACTGAAGAATTCTATACCATCTACAATTTGCAAGAAGCCAGAGTTCAAGCATTACTATCACATTTTTTAAAATACTAGTAATTTTGGTCCATTCCTTAGTTATATAGTAGATCAAATTGGTGAATTAAAAGTAGAAATTGATAGCATACATTGTCGTTGTATGAATCTTGAAAACAAATTATTAACGACAATATATTATATTAATAAAAATTTAAGTGGTTTAAGAGTTTAAGTTAAAAACGTACAACTTGCTCTAATAAATGAAGTTAGACATCAGTTTAACAATGAAGTATCACCTAATAAAGAAAAGATTGTTCCTTATAAATATAAATATCCTTTTCAAAACTTAGATAAAAATAAGAAGTTTTCTATATCACTCCCTAAAAAAACACTCGTGAAAGGGAAAAGAATAAAGAGACTAAAGATGAGCCATCATCTTCATGGGAAAACGATTGAAGAAATACAAACTTTATTTGATAAAGAAGAAGACCCTGATAAACTAAATGAGATCGATCATGAAAATAATTTCTGAAAAGGGATTGTTCCTGATAATAATATAGAAGAGAATAATTATGTTACTTTAGAAGAAGATTTATATTAACAAATGGGATTAATGAAGCTAAAGAATTTAGACTTTTTACCTATTGAAGTTGTTCAAAAAAAGATTAATAACAAATTAGGTAAAAGGATAATGGATAATACTGAAGTTGGAGAAGAAATAATAAATAACGTAAACAATTTTATCCAAATACCTAGGTACCAAGGAGAAGGAGTTGTACACGACCAAGATACGTACCAGTGAAGACTACCCGGTTTAGTGCCAAGGTTATTTTAACTCAAATACCTAAGCAGAAAGAATCAACTCTTGAACCTATTAGCCAAACTGGTTATAAACTCAAATTAGATGAAGTAAGAGAGAGACAAGATGTATTAGATCAGTGGAAAAAGAGCATGAGTATTGTACTTATTATAAACACTGAATGGAATTCTGAAAATTTCTTGAATTATATTGAACATAGCTTCTATGGTTGTGTAGAAGATTGGTATGATGGTATTGATGAAGTAAAAATCGAATTAAGAACTGGTGGATCTCCTACTAGAATGTTTAGACAATTATGTCAATATATTGAGTTAGAATTCATTGGTCCTAGAGCTGACCCTAATGAAAAATGAATGGAATATCAAAGAAAATTAAGTAATCTGTCCATCTGTAATATTAAATATGTTGAGAGCTACATTATGGAGTTTGAAACATATTATTATAAAATTGGTGAAAATGAAGCGAACCTTGGAATGTTCTATGATTAATTACCAAGTCCTCTTAATAAAGAAATCAGGGAAAAATATAAAGAATAAAGAGAAAAATATATAGCTAGGGATGCCCTAGGTAACCGAATTGCTTTCTGAAGAAAATGGATTGAAAAGAAATGTAGAGAGGTTGTAGGAACTCAACAAATGAAGAAACAATTTCTCACTTGTTGGGATTTCCCAAATAACTATGGATGTGAAAGAAGGAATTATAACAAGAAGAAAAACTACAAGAAATATACTTGATAGATTAACAAGAGAAACCTATAAGAAGAAGTATTATAAACATAAGTATAGAAAGCCTAGTAGGTTTTTCAGAAAAGCAACATATTGTCTTGAGAAAATTAAAACATGCAAGTGTTGGTCTTGTTGAGAATTAGGATTATGCTAACGAGTGTAAGAAAGCTATTCATAAACTAATGGAAGCCTTAGGTAGTTGGGATTACATAGAAATACTAGAAGACGAGGCTTTAGAATTGGCATTAAGTAATAATAAAGGAATAGTAGAAATTGTTTCGGGGTTTTTTGTGTCATACGGGAGAGTTACGTCACCAAGACTGGATTCCCTGCCGGCTGTACCTGCAATACAACAGAAGCTCCTATTGGTAGGAGTTCCACCTCCGACGGTCAAGTTAGAACCGGTCGAAGTAAGGTAAATAGTGCGGAAAGTAAAAGTAGATCTTCTCAGATCCCGAAATCAGGTGTTTTCTCTGATGTGAGAGAATTAATTGTGTTGTAATAAATGATCGTGTTCCCAAATGGGGTAAATCTCCCTATATATAGGGTTATTGGTAAATGTGCCCTTTTTTTTTGTAAGTAAGGAGATTTTATTACCAAAACAGAGTGAGGGCAAGCCCTCCCCGAACTACACAAGCCCTAAGGCCAATTACACTCCTACAGCCAAACAAAACATCACACCTATCTACTAGGTATAGAGTTTTGAAGGCTATACAACCATTTACATAGCTTCCTATTCCAATTACAACCAGTTAGCTGCTTAACTCTATTTACAATATCAATACATACATTTCGGGCAACAAAATTGGGATGCAAAACAGCTCCATTCCAGAAAGCTTGATTTCTTGCCATCCAAATGTGATAGGTGGTAGCAACTAGCACAACCAACCCAATCTTTCTGCCAACATCAGTCTTCATTTGTCTTTGCCAAGACTTCCAAGTAGTAGCAATGTCAGACTGTCTTGGAGTAACATTGAGCCAGGAGCAAATTAAGTTCAAGCACCTCACACTGTACTTGCACCTATAAAAGAGGTGATCAATGCTCTCATCCTACTCACCACACAACAAGCAGGCTGCATCATCACAAGCACCATATACCTTAAGCTTATCCCTGGTCTTAAGCTTCATGTGAACTGCCAGCCAGACTATGAAAGAATGCTTTGGGATATTATATCTATTCCACACCCATTTAGTCCAGTTGACTTTGTCCATGTCCCCTAGCAGCCAATTATAGCAGTCATCTATGTTGTACTTCTTATTACACCAATGCTCCTGCTCAAACCTAACCTGCAACTTATCCTTCACAGCACACAACTTCTTCCATGCCCATCCAGCATCTCTTTTAGGCTTGTATTG